GCCACCCATGTCAGAGTCTGAGTCTGAAAGAATGCCATCTACAAGTTTGCTGATGACACTACCATTGTAGGATGAATCAGAATATGGGAAGGAGATAGAGGGCTTGGTGACGTGGTTCAATTATAACACTCTCTCTCTCAATGTTGGCAAAACTAGAGAACTGATAATTGAATTTAGAAAGAAAGGAGGAGCACATGCCCCCACCTACATCGATGGAGCGGAGGTTGAGAGGGTGGAGAGTGTCAAATCCCTAGGAGTGACGATAGCCAACAATCTGTCCTGGACTTCCCATGTAAATGCGACAGTCAAGAAGGTACAGCAGCGCCTCTTCCTCCTCAAGCGAATTAGGAAATTCAGCATGTCCATTATGACCCTCACCAACTTTTATAGATGCACCTTAGAAAGCGTACTGTCCAGGTACATAATGGCCTGGCATGGCAACTGCCCTGCCCAGGACTGTAAGAAACTACAGAAGGTGGTGTGCACAGCCCAGACCATCACAGAAGCCAACCTCCCATCATGGACAACAAGGTGCAGAGCTGGATGAACACAGCAGGCCAAGCAGCATCATAGGAGCAGTAAGGCTGACGTTTCGGGCATGGGTCTAGGCATCTGCATTCCTACTATCTCCCATCATGGACTCTATTTACACTTCTCACTGTCGTGTAAAGGCTGCCATCATCATCAAAGAGCCCGCCCACACCGGTAATGCTCTCCTGCAATATTTTCCATCAGGAACAAGGTACAGAAGCTTGAACACATGCACCAACAGGTTCAAGAACAGCTTCTTCCCTGCCGTTATTAAACTGGTGAATGGACTGTCTGACTTCAAATAATCCTGATCTTGTTAATGTTGTTCTTGCCTCACATATACCCTCTGCAGCATAACCTGTATGCCTCACTCTGTCCAAATTTGTTTTTTTACCCTATGATCTGTATGCCCTTGATGACTATGACCTGCCTGTACTGTAAGTGAAGATTTTCGCTGTACTTAGGTACATGTGACAATAAGCCAAATCAAAAAGAACCAGACCTGGGGTGAAAACATTACAGGACAAGCTAAAAGAGAAAGTCCAGGCCTACATTGTCGGACTTGAAGGGGGGAAAGGGGTGCAGTGATTGGAACCAGGTGGATCGCATTGACTATGAGATCCTTGATTGGGGTTGTTAATCTGGGCCAATCAGGAAGCCCTGGCTGACCAATATTAACAGAGGAGTTAGAATCTCCTCAGTTCAGGGGGTCTGACTCCGAGCTAGCTGGCTACAGCCAGTGTACTGTGCACAAGTAAATAAATGGTGACTTGGTGACAGGATACCAGCCTCTATGCAGTTATTTCAGTAACAAAATTAATTGACGCTATTAACAGACATGTTTTTTTATTATTCTGGGGCATCAAGCAGGAGATCTTTGAAAGAACAGTGAACCAGTATAATAGTCAATAATGCAGAGCGGACATTCATTAGCTGTTCATTCAGAAGGTGAACCCTGGCTCTCCCATGAGACTGGATTTTCTTTCAGTGTTGAGACCCTAACACTGGAGCCATTTCTGGGTCCTTACTCCTTATATCACCTCAATGTCTGATCACATCAAGGAGTTGGCTAATTATTAGCCCAATGTCATATTTGTCATTAAATTCCGGACGTTGTAATCAGTAGGATCTTTGCATAGTGGCTCTGTGTTAAAGGGTGGCCAACAGCTAATGATTCTTTGTAGCTTATTTTTTACTTCCCTCATCAGCCTGCTGAGAGATGTTAAGGTACACCTCTGGAACAGGTGAGACTTGAACCCAGGCCATTTGGCTCAGAGGTTGGGACACTACCACTGTACCACAAGAGACCCATTGGTTCTTTTATTTGCAGAAAGCAGCGAGGCACCTGGAAGGGCAGATGCACCATTTTCTCTTTGGAGGCGTTTCTGGATGTGGAGACTGTCCAGCAGAGCCCTTGTTTCAGGGGTCCACGGGAGGTGGCCAACACATCAGAGCCAAAAAATTACAGGTATAGTTGGAGGTAGCTCAGGGGGTAAACAGCACAGTGTCATCAGTAGAAGTGGATTTAGAGCAGCAAATGCTTCTATCGTCTTCTGAGGTCTGGCATGATGAGTGCATTGCCTCACCCAGAGAACAGGTATCCAGTTCCAGTATTAGGAGGCATGTTACCTGTGAGCTGGTACACCGTAAGAATGTGTGTGCCGGGGTTCATGTAAAGGAAAAGGCATCTGAAATATAACATCACTTGAGGGCACAGTTGGGTGCAGTGAAGCAGATTCCATCATTCTAAATCTCTCACTATTGACTTTTCAGGCACAAGAAAAGCACAAAAGACAGATCAAAAGGGATTATATTGGTGGTGGAGTGACTCTTCTGACATAGTGAAAGAGGAGGCCTCCGACATTGCCAAAGTGGTCGCAGTTCACCAGAAAGTCAGTGATGGAAGCCTGTTGAAGGCATGGTGAGATGATCTTTGCATCTCCACCTCCTTCCTCAGTTTGAACCATGGCAATATGTAAGCTCTAAGGGCCTGCTGCAGCTCTGCCTTCACAGTGGAACTTTCTGAATCAAGTTTATACGCTTCCAACATGGCCAATTGTGGAGGGACAGCCTCAGCTCACTGTGCTTTTGGCATCAAATTCAGAGGAAGAAGATGCACCATCAACCATATCCTCCACCACTACAGGTACACCTCCCCTCCTGGTGGGTCTCATGTAAATTGAAAATGAGTGGCAACATGATCAACCCATCATGCATGAGCAGAAGGAGGTAAGGAAGGCAGAGATAGCTGTAGCCACTCCCTGTTGGAGGTTACAGGACAGACACAGCTAGGCTCAGTGGGGCAGAGATGCAAAGCCTGAGAAATCAGAAACAAGGTGGGTCCTCCGAGAGCAGCAGTGGTAGCAATGTGCTGAAATGTTGCAACTCACTGAGAGAGTGTGGAATAGTGGGCTGAGTCTATGGAGATATGCTACACTGTCTCAGGTGTAAGAGTGCATGAGCTCATCCATTGAAAGAATGGTCTGCCTCATGGGGAGCCTTACGTGGATTCTGGCTGTGTGCATGCTGTAGTGTCACACTGCCATGTGCAGAATATATCCTGCATTCTGTAGCTTGGACTGGGCAGTGGCATTGATGGCACTAAGATGGCTAGAGGGATTGCCAATTGCACCCGCACTGGTGATTTCCTCTATGACCAGCATGCATGCCATGAAGCTAATAGTGGTGTTGAGCAGGCTACCTCACACAAGTTGCCATCATATTTAGCTGCCTTCTGGGATAGCCTGACTGGCACATCATTTATATAGCAAGGATCTATCGCTGAGGCTGTCCCTGCATTGACTCTGGCACTGATGTTGAGACTGGGCATTACAGATATCTCCATTACAGATACACTTACATAAGCAACCTGTCTAGGTGATGACCTCATGGCATTTTCACTAGACTATAATAGACTATATTGCCAGGTAATGTTCTGGGGATCTAGGTTCAAATCCCGCCAGGACAGTTGGTGGAATTTGAATTCAACAATAATCTGGAAATAAGAATATGATGGTGACCATGAATCCATTGTCAATTGTTGGAAAAACCCTCTGGTTCAGTAATGCCCTTTAGGAAAGGAAATCTGCCATCTTTTCCTGGTCTGGCCTACATGTGACTCCAGACTCACAGCATTGTGGTTGACTCTCAACTTCCCTCCTGGAAATTAGGAAGGAGCAATAAAATGCTGGCCTAGCTAGTGATGCCCCTGAATGAATGAAAAAACACTCAGCTACAGGAGCGAAGCCCTAAGGAGCAGCCAGAAGGAGAAGGTAACATGTTGCAGTTTCACGTTGTGGCATGCTTGGGAATTTATGTTTTGGTACAATTCAATGATAATGAATCAATGTAATGAAGTGGAGTGATAACTGAACCCAGAATTCTATGGCTCCAATGTGTTGACTGCCTTAAGGTAAGAATGAAGAGATTAGTATGTAAAACAAAGGTGGGTGGTCATGGACATCACACGGACAGTGGGGACTTGTCTTCCAGACTTTGAGGTTAAAAGGAGCCATCTCTGCATTGTGTGCTTCCAGGACATATTTGCTTCATGTGACCGAGATGAGTTTTGAATCAAAAGTCTCTGGGTTTAGGAGTAAGTGGTGTGTATTTATGAAGCACAAGCCACTCTGCCATCCCAAACAATGGTTGGAGAGCTCAGATGGAGCACTGGTAGACCTTGCACTGCAGGGTCACTGTACTTCACCACTTGTTCCTCCATTTCCGTTGTCAGGTTGCACATAGATGTCAGCAGCTATAACTTCAACAGATAACTCTTGTCCCCTTACAGCTCTATGCGCAGCATCTGTGATTGCTTCAAGATGAAGGCATCATGGAAAACCTTACTCAAACCTGTAGGAAACATCTGGGATGGCCCCACAGCAGTTGATGTTGAGAGAATGGAATCCTTTCTGGTTGATAAATGCCACTGTCTGCTCCACCCAGGCCTTGATACCACCCAGGCACAATAACCTCCCACAACAATTGAGGCCAATTCTACAATCCCATGAATATTCTTTTATGCATGGGTATCTGTGATGCTGTGATAGGCACTCACATGCAAAGTACCACACACTGCTGCCACTTGAAATGACCCAGAAGCAGTGCCACTCTCGATTTCACAGTGTGGAAAGATGACCAATAATGCCGGAGATCCTCCTTCAAGATGGCAAACAAATCAGTATCCAGTTACCTTGTCTGGTGCAGTCTTTTGCACTCTGACATATCTGCGAAGCTGAGTGGTATACCTGATAATGAATGCAATAGTTTCATCCCCCATCCCACTCCTGCCTGTTCCTGGTGCATCAACTCAGCACCAAGATGTTGCCTTGTCTGTGGGAGCAGTTGCTCCTCGTTGCTTCCAGCTCAGGCAGTCCCATGTCCAAGAATGGCCTCCCCTGCTACCAGCAAAACTGTAGCAGCTGACCAACTGACCAACAAAACCCCATCCGTAACTATGTCCCACTCACCTTCAAAGATGCACACTCCTGTAATTGCCCTCATACCTAAACATTGATCCCGCTACAAGCTCTGCTCACACCATCAGCTTTGTGTGCCAACGTAGAAAGGGTCCTTTGCTCCTTGCCCTTTTTATTCATCATTGAAAATGGCTCTATCTCTGTCTTGCAGCCTCCCCTTCACAGAGAGGCGTGTGCTTCTGTCTCTTCCTGCCTCCCTTCATTGCAGAGGTGGGTCCTTTTACCACCCACCCGCAAACACCCCCCACCCCCCATCGCTGTCCCCTCCACACCCATGTCTGGAAGACAAGATTCCACAGCCCACGCAATGTCTGTGACCGCCCAGCTTTGCAATGCATTGCCAACTTCTACTGTGGCTGCTTTTCCAGGCTCCTTTCTCTGTAGCTGAGTCACATATGCCTGCCTTTGGTGCAGATCAGAGGGCTCTCAATTCGTTCATCTGCAGACCTTCAACTGATGACCTGCCACTTTGGAAGGGTCCCTACCACTATCAAAAATCACTGGGAATTCTGACTGCACAAGGTCTCTGTGTCCGTTATAACGATATTTATCCCATCCACTGATTCTGGTCTGATAAACATACCGCAAATCTGAAAGAACAGTGAGTGTTGCTCAGAGCACGACCCTCTAACCATTTTTTTTCCTTTTCAACTGATAATCTCTTGAGCTGCCTCGCCCCCAAGCTGACTCACTCTACTATCTCTTTTTAAATGCAGTTCTCTCTTGTCTTGCCGCAGATCCTTAATTGCTTTTCGGGAAAAAAGAAATGATAAATATTCATCAAGCTGACTGCGGCGTGTTTCTAACATACTTTCATGTTACTAAAACATTAAGACTAGTGCCCTAAACATCTTTCGGGACTACTCAAAGCTGAATTTAATGATTGTAATTATTCACTGAGTATCAGTGTTCAGGGAAATTTGGAATTTGAATTAAAGCATTTATTTTACTGTGATTTCAGCTTCATTGCCAGCTTGAATTTCAAAGATCTGAAATGTATTTCTTCTAAATACAGGCCTGAAATCCAAACTGTTATGAATGCATGACTGAGCAGTGAATGAAGCACCTTCATACCAGAGGTTCCAAAGAAAACACAGTACCGAAGCCCAGTTGAAGTTATAAAGCAGTTTACCAGTTCTGAGATGATCATTTGCAGTTTAAACAAGCTCCACAGTGCAGGAACTAAACAACTAAAATTTCAGATAACAAGGTTTAGAGCTGGATGAACAGAGCAGGCCAAGCAGCATCATAGGAGCAGGAAGGCTGACGTTTCGGGCCTAGACCCTTCATCAAAAATTTCAGCCCACAGTCGAGTCCATTGTTATCAGTGTCTTTTTTTTACTTCTGGAGTCCTCTGACTTTCATCACATTTTATTCAGCTGAGAGAATTGCAAAGATGTCATGCCACTCCACCTCCCTTTAATGATGATTTTGAAAGGATGGACAATTGAAGGAGATAACATTTCAGCCACATCGGAATAAAGTGGACAGTCACTGGAGGGCCAGCAATGTATTGATGGGCCGAATAGACCTCCTTCTATGCCATGGACTGAACCTTACCATATTTTGCAGGTCTGGCAGAGTTCTGAGGAAGGGTCACTGGACCCGAAACATTAACTCTGTTTTCTCCTTCACAGACGCTGCCAGACCTGCTGAGCTTTTCCAGCAACTTTGTTTTTGTTCATGATTTACAGCATCCGCAGCTCTCTCAGTTTTTACTTACCATATTTTGGTTGTGTTCATTTTTCTGCATTTCATAGAGGGGTTCTGTCCGCAAGGCCTCAAGTTTTCTCATGCAATCACCCCAAACTCCCTTACTAACCAGGTACATGGTCATATCCTTAGATGTTAGCACAATTCTCCCACTCACTGTAGCCAGAAGAATTCATTATTGGCTGGAAATCCAGCAACATACCAGCTTTACTGGTGATAGCACTATCTTCAAAATAGTGTGACGTGGCCAGGCTACCATTGACATTCTGGAGTTGCCCCACACAGCAGCACACAGCTAGGAGCGTGCTATGCTGGACAAGGGTAAATTGACACTCTGCCTTATGGACACTCGAGGTCCTGTACATAGTGTAGTGCAGAGAAACAATGTCCTCTTGCCCAGGATCAGCAGAGGAGGTCATGACACCATAACTTGCTTGCCTGACCTGACATTGCTACCCAGGACAGTGAGGGCTCTGCAATTCAGAGGAACACCCAGTAATGCAGGAAGGAGTCAATTACAATCTCCACTATGCCAGGATTAGTGCTACCATCTTGTCTTGACTACCTCACACTCACTCTATCTCAGTTACTGCAGGTACTTCCCACAGAGTCTACTACTTTTTTTTTATTAATTCATGGGATGTGGGTCGCATTGCCAGTTGGTCACAATGCTAGACCAGTACTTATTGAAAATTGCCCAGAGGGCAGGTAAGAGTGAATCACATTGCTGTGGGTCTGGAGTCATATTTAGGTTAGGCCAGGTAAGGATGCTGGAGTTCCTTCCCTAAAGGGCATTAGTGAACCAGGTGAGTTTTTTCTTGACAATAGTTTCATGTTCATTATTAAACTCCTATTTTCAGATTATTATTGAATTCAAATTACACCACCTGCTATGACGGGATTCTGGGTGCCCAGAACATTACCTGGCTCTCTGGATTAATAGTCAAACGTGAATACTACTAGGCCATCACCTGCCCCTAATAACTCTCGCTTTTCCCTCCAAGCCACTCACCATCCTGACTTGGAAATTTCTTTTTAAACCATAAGAAATAGGAACAGGATTTCACTGTCCCTTCACTGTCACTTGGTCAAAATCCTGGAAATCCCTCCCTGAGGACATTGTGGGTCTACCTACAACATGTGGTCTGCAGCGGTTCAAGAAGGCAGCTCATCACCACCTTCTCAAGGGCAACTAGAAATAGAGAAATAAATGATGGCCGGCCAGCAATGAATAAAATAAAACTTGCACTCACTTATCCCAGTTGACTTTTAACTATGTATGGCTCCTGTGTGACTTACTCACTCACTGGGCCCCTTCACATCTTTCCCTCACCTTCGCCAGCTCTAAAAACTGGGCTGCCCAATGTCATTTCATTCAATCCTTCCCTGATTGCAGGAAAGAGCAGCCCAGGATGGGTGCTGTAGGTCTGGATTAACATGTTCTATAAAGAAATTATCTTGTTCCACTCTTGTGAGAACTGGGAGAGGTCCCGTGAAGCTGCTGAGACATCCATATCCTGGCAATGCAAGAATAGTTCATTGTACAGCAATTGTCAAGTTAACCCCCTGGTCAATGTATTTTTAATCTGCTTTAACCCTTGGTCATGATGCTTTCTCTCTTTTATATTTTGGAGATACCAGTGGCACGAACATATTGGTTATGATCCAGGGCAGCCCTGCTAGCCCTCCTCTCCAGAAGCTCTGAGGAAGAGAGTAGGAATCCCTCCGAGGAAGCATTGGAAAGGCTGCTTCTTGAAGCCCCCACCAGTTCAGGTACTGGCACCTCGGTGAGTATTTTATGTCGATCAGCATGAGCTAGTGAGCACCTCACTGCCACATCTCCGCAGCTGGACAAGATAGAAATGCCCGGGCCCCTAGCACTCAGAGGCCTGTCGGAGACTGGGCACCTGTTCAGCCCATCAGTAGGAAAGGGGGGCCTGTGGTGTTGACAATCCAGGACTTCATACAAATGCACATGCAGACCCAGGAGCGGTAGGCAGGATTGTGGAGGGCAATGGTTATCATAGAATAATGGCTGCAGGAGTGCAGCAAATGCAGTCAGGACCCTGCTGCCTCACTCATGTTCATGGACAGGTTGGCAGCTGCCATGGAGAGCCAGGTCCAGCAACCTCAGTGTCTGCGAGATCAATGGTTGGATCTACAAGGCATCACCATAACCATTGATCCTCTCCACCAGCCAGCAGCAAGGCAACGGGGGATGCCGCTCCTTGTCCTCACTCTGGATGTCCTATCCTCATGGTGCCAGTAGGCTTCCAGCCATAGGAGGAACCTCATGCAAGCCCATTTTCCGAAGACATCTCCTCTCAGGGTAACCCAGAGGTTGCTGGAATTTCTAACTCCACCTTGCCTTTCACCATCAGGATTGTGTTAGCCCAAGCCAAGGGTGCACTTGCCTCCGGTGAGTACGTACTCAGCATGCCTGGCCCTTCTAGTCACAAGCGCCTTCGAGATCAGCCGAGCAAAGCTGCAAGACCAATAGTGTAGGGCAGGCTCCCTCTCTCCAGCCCAGCCCAGCTGAGGACCCAGGGATTGCACTGAGATGTAGTGGGAGGGAGAGAAGGAAGAAGGCCTTTCACAGTCACAATGGTGGCATGTGTAACACTTCATTATCAACACACGCTCAAGTTTGTAAATATATATTTTCAGTTCTGACTGTCCCCTGTTTGCACCAATCACAAACGCAATCTGTGAGGTACTGAACCTTTCAATTCTTATCAAATAAAAACCGAAAGAACTGCGGATGCTGTAAATCAGGAACAAAAACAAAGTTGCTGGAAAAGCTCAGCAGATCTGGCAGCACCTGTGAAGGAGAAAACAGAGTTAATGTTTCAGGTCCGGTGACCCTTCCTCAGAACCCATCGATTCTTATCCCTAGACAATGTTCTGCAGTGCAAGGTTTGGAGTCAGTTGCCTGCACACCAGGGCAGGCCGTGAATTGCTGGAGACTGCAACATCAGCAACCAAACCCCGTCTCTCTGGCTGTACAGACAGTGCTGTTACAGCACAGGCCTTCGTGGGGTTTAGCCATTATCCTGCATGAAATTCTCAGGAGAGCTTGGGGTAAGGAGCTGTACTGCATACACTAGGTTAATTCCCTAAGGATCACAAGGAATACTGAGCTCAGCCATGTGTTTAACCTTCACTGAGAGGGTCTGCTGATGCTGTCCTTTGAAGATCTCCCATGAAGCTATAAGTTGCAGACCACCCCTTCTGCCAAATGTAGTTTCAGCCATTTGGGTTTTATTGCACACTTGTGATTGGCTGGACAATGGAAAGATAAATTGCTACTCCTCAGCCAATGAGTTCAAACTTCCAGCTCGACGCATAGGTGAAATCCCAAATATCTATATCCCCTTCCTCTCCACCAACCTCCAAAAACATCACATCTCCTCAAGTCCCCACTCAATCAAT